TTAAAGTTGTGTCCAATTATATAACTCTGACTCTAACCCTCCATGTCATTTTCCACACCTGGAAAAATCATTGAATTTTCTAAATTTAATGAAAGTTTTGGAAAAGTCATGGAATTTCAGTATCTCTTTCACACAACTACAGCGTTCTGTTAAGTTATAATTAGACTATTATGATTATTTCCGAACGTTTGCACCTTTTTTTTTTTTAAAGAGATGACAATAAATGTATTTCACTTCAGAAAATTCACTTTAGGTCATGAAAAAGTTATGGAAAAGTAAGTGAAAAAGAGTGGGAACCCTGTTTGTGTTTCATGCAGTGTTACTTCAGATATGATTTAGTTTGTCTCATTTTTGCGTCCGTCCTTCGAAAACACCAGATTTTGTGACTTATTTAAAGTTGTGTCCAGTTAAAAACTTTAAATCTAAAGGTCTAAAGGTTTAAATCTAAGCCTGGCCCTGGGTAAGCGGAAGAAAATGGATGGATAGTTTAACTTGGGTAGTGCTTTCCCCAAATAATTAACTCTTACAGGGTTCCCACGGTCATGGAAAAGTTTTAAAATGTTGTCAGTGAAAAAGAGTTTGTGTTTCTTGTAGCTTTACTTCAGATATAATTTAGTTTGTCTCATTTTTGCGTCCGTCCTTTGAAAACACCAGATTTTGTGACTTATTTAAAGTTGTGTCCAATTATATAACTTTAACTCTAACCCTCGTGACCCGGCCCCGGATAAGAGGAAGAAAATGTATGGATGAATACTCTGACTTGGGTAGTACTTTTCCCAAATAATAAACTCTTACAGGGCTCCCACGGTCATGGAAATCCTGGAAAAGCTGAAAATATCATTTTCCACACCTGGAAAAGTCACTGAATTTTGTAAATTTAATGAAAGTTTTGGAAAAGTCATGGAATTTTAGTATTTCTTTCACACAACTACAGCGTTCTGTTAAGTTCTCATTGGACTATTATGATTATTTCCGAACATTTGTGCATTTTGTTTAAAAGAGACGACAGTAAAAGTATTTTGAATGTTAAAAAACTATTAAACCAAACCATAAAGTGAGTGGAAACAGTTCACATTTCATATTTAGTCTTAAAAGTCTGATGAATTCTACACATTCTGTAAACTCATGGAAAATTCACTTTTAACTCATGGAAAAGTCATGGAAATGTTTTAAAATTCTGTCAGTGAAAAGAATTTGTGTTTCTTGCAGTGCTCCTTCAGATATGATTTAGTTTGTCTCATTTTTGCGTCCGTCCTTCGAAAACACCAGATTTTGTGACTTATTTAAAGTTGTGTCCAGTTAAAAACTTTAAATCTAAAGGTCTAAAGGTTTAAATCTAAGCCTGGTCCCAGGTAAGAGGAAGAAAATGGATGAATAGTTTAACTTGGGTAGTGCTTTCCCCAAATAATTAACTCTTACAGGGTTCCCACGGTCATGGAAATCCTGGAAAAGTCATCAAATTTTGTAAATACAACGAAAGATTTGGGAAAAGTCATGTCATTTTAATGTCTCTTTCACACAACTACAGCGTTCTGTATCATTAGACTATTATGATTATTTCTGAACGTCTGCACCTTTTGTTTAAAAGAGACGACATTAAAAGTATTTTGAATGTTTAAAAACTTTAACACCAAACCATAAGGTGTGTGGAAAGGTTTAACATTTCATATTTAGTCATAAAAGTCTGATCAATTCTACACACGTAGGTGCTGTAAAGTCATGGAAAATTCACTTTAACTCATGAAAAAGTCATGGAAAGTTTCAAAATGTTGTCAGTGAAAAGAGTTTGTGTTTCTTGCAGCGTTACTTCAGATATGATTTAGTTTGTCTCATTTTTGCGTCCGTCCTTCGAAAACGCCAGATTTTGCGACTTATTTAAAGTTGCGTCCAGTTATATAAAAATTACTTTCACTTGAGTCGTACTTTCCCAAATAATTAACTCCTACTTCTACGTCTACTTGAGTAATATTATTTTTTTAAGTAACGTTACAGTGTTTGGTTACTCTACTCGTTCGTGGTACAAATGTGGTGTTGGATTTGCGTCTGTGGTTCTCAGAGTCGGTGTTTTTCTGCGCGTGCCAGCCTCACTATAATATGATCAGTGCAGATGAGCGTCTGGTGGCTGTGATAATCTGGTGTAGCTCCAACAGTATATCTGCCTAATCCTTTTCACATTGTGCCCACACTCACTGTACTTCACTCTAATCCTGCGCACGTTTAAATACAACATTACTCAGCACAAGTAACTCGAAAAAATGGCGCTCTTATCGGCTTCTCCCAGGTACCACCTTGGCTTTAATTACTCCTCTCCTCCCCCTCTCTCCTCTCCACTCCTCTCTTCCTCCTCTTCTCTTCTCTCTTCTCCTCTCCTCCCCCTCTCTCCTCTCCACTCCTCTCTTCCTCCTCTTCTCTTCTCTCAGATCTCTCTCCTCTCTCTCTCTTCTCCTCTCTCTCTCTCTCTCTCTCTCCTCTCCTCTCTTCTCTCTCCTCCTCTCTCTCTCTCTCTCTCTCCTCTCCTCTCCTCTCTCTCTCTCCTCTCCTCTCCCTCTCTCTCCTCTCTCTCAATCTCTCTCTCCTCTCTCTCTCTCTTCTCCTCTCTCTCTCTCTCCTCTCCTCTCTCTCTCCTCTCTCTCTCTCTTCTCCTCTCTCTCAATCTCTCTCTCTCCTCTACCCTCCCTCACTTCTCCTCTCTCTCTCCCTCTCTTCTCCTCTCCTCTCCCTCTCTTCTCCTCTCCTCCCTCTCTCTTCTCCTCTCTGCTTCTCTCCCATCTTCTCTCCACTCCTCTCTTCCTCCTCTTCTCTTCTCACAGATGCTCTCCTCAGTCTCTCCTCTCCTCCCTCTCTCTCCTCTTCTTCCCTCCTGTCTCCTCCTTCTCTCCTTTCCTCGCCTCTACTCTGACCCCTCTCCCTCTCTCCTTTCCTCTCCTCCCTTTCACCTCTACTCCCTCTATCTCCCCTCTCCTCTCCTCTAATCCTTCTCTCCTCCCTCTCCTCTGCTCCCTTTCTCTCCCCACTCCTCTCCTCCCCCCCTCTCCCCTCTCTGCTTTCCTCTCTTTCCTTTCACTTCTCCTCCCTCTCTCTTCTCTCTCTCCCTCTCTCTCTCCTCTCTCTCTCTCTCCCATCTTCTCTCCACTCCTCTTCTCTTCTCGCAGATCCTCTTCTCAGTCTCCCCTCTCCTCCCTCTCTCTCCTCTTCTTCCCTCCTGTCTCCTCCTTCTCACCTTTCCTCTCCTCCATCTCTCTTCCCTCGCCTCTACTCTGAGCCCTCTCTCGTTTCCCCTCCTCTCTCTCCACCTCTCCTCCCTTTCTCCCTCTCTCTTTTCCTCCCCCCCTCCCCTCTCTGCTTTCCTCTCTTTCCTTTCACCTCTCCTCCCTCTCTCTTTTCCTTCCCTTCCCTCTCTCTTCTCCTCTCTGCTTCTCTCCCATCTTCTCTCCACTCTTCTCTTCCTCCCTCTCTCTTCTTCTCTATACTTCTCTCCTCCCTTCTTTGTTCCTCTCCCACCTTCTCTCCATTCCTCTCTTGTTCCTCTTCTCTTCTCTCCTCCCTCCCTCTCCTCATCTCTACAGCGCTCCTATCTTCTTTCCTCTTTTCCCTCTCCTCTCTTCGTCTTCTCCCTTCTTCGCTCCTCTCCCTTTTTCTCCCCACACCTCTCTTCCGCCTCTTCTCTTCTCTCTGATCCTCTTCTCAGTCTCCCCTCTCCTCCCTCTTCTCTCTCTGCTTTCCTCTCCTCCCTTTCACCTCTACTCCCTCTATCTCCCTCTCCTCTTATCCCCCTCTCTCCTTTCCTCTCCTCTTTCTCCGCCTCTCCTCCATCTCCCCTCCTCTCTCTCCTCCCTTTCCACCTCTCCTCCCTCTCTCCCCTTTCACCTCTCATCCATCTCTCCTTTCCTCTCCTCTCTCTCTTTCGACCTCCTCTCTCCTTTCCTCTCCTCTCTCTCACCTCTACTCCCTCTATCGCCCCTCTCCTCTCCTCTTATCCCTCTCTCCCCTTTCCTCTCCTCTTTCTCCACCTCTCCTCCATCTCCCCTCCTCTCTTTCCTCCCTTTCACCTCTCATCCATCTCTCCTTTCCTCTCCTCTCTCCTTTCCTCTCTCTCCTCTCTTCTTTCCTCTCCTCTTTCTCCACCTCTCCTCCATCTCCTCTCCACCCTCTCTCCCCTTTCACCTCTCACCGATCTCTCCTTTCCTCTCCTCTCTCTCCTTCCCCCTCCTCTCTCCTTTCCTCTCTCCCTTTTCTCCTCTCTCCCCTCTCTCCTTTCCTCTCCTCTTTCTTCGCCTCTCCTCCATCTCCCCTCCTCTCTCTCTCCCCTTTCATCTCTCACCCATCTCTCCTTTCCTCTCCTCCATCTCTGCTTTCCTCTCCTCTCCTTTTATCCCTCTCTCCTTTCCTCTCCTCTCTCTCCTTTCTCCCTCTCTCTCTCCCTCTCTCCTTTCCTCTCCTCTTTCTCTGCCTCTCCTCCCTCTCTCCCCTTTCACCTCTCACCGATCTCTCCTTCCCCCTCCTCTTTCCTCTCTCCCCTCTCTTCTTTCCTCTCGTCTTTCTCCGCCTCTCCTCTTTCTCCACCTCTCCTCCATCACCCCTCCTACCTCTCACCCATCTCTCCTTTCCTCTCCTCTCTCTCCTCTCTCTCTCCTCTCTCTCTTTCCTCTTCTCTCCTTTCCTCTCCTCTCTCTCCCCCTCTCCTCCTCCCTCTCTCCTTTCCTCTCTCCTCCTCCCTCTCTCCCTCTCCACAAACCCGGTCGGCGTTAGGACCCTGCGGAGGCCGCTCTTCCACATCTGCCTCCCGCCTGCCTCGCTCCTGCCTCCCGCTGCACGGACCATCCGCGCCGGAGTCTTCAAAACATCCAGGCAGCGGCAGCATCAGCAGCGCTCACCCGGGCTCTGGACTCCTCACCACGGGACTCGGACTCGGGGAACTCGGGACCTGCACCGGCTTGGACCATGGCTCAAAGTGGACCAAACAGTGGACTTGTATGCACTTAAGAGGACCGCGCGGAAACATGAAGACACCCATGGTATTTAAAGCTTTTTTTCTTTTTTTTTTTTTGCCGCGTTCACGTCGCTCGGTTTCGCTTTAAATTGCACAATTGTTGGCGCGTGTCTGTCTCTCTTCGCCGTGCGCCGTTTTCTATCGGATCAAAAGATTAGTACGCGACGTGAACAATAGACGTCCAGCTGTGCGCGCCGTGGATCTAAACCCCGCACGAGGGAGACTAGACGGGACCACACGCGCTCTGGCATGGCACTTTCTGACGCAAATACGATACACGTGCACGCTCAGAAGTATTTTATCTTCATTAAATGGCATCATGTTTTATTACGTACAGGTGTCAGATACGCAAAAGTATAGTTTAATGTTGCTAGTGCACTTTCTGACGCCAAAACGGCACGCGTGCATGTCCAGAACTATTTTATCTTTATTTATTAGCGTGTTTTTTTTTGTTTTTGTTTTTTTTTTACGTACAGGTGTCGGATATGCAAAAGTATAGTTTGATGTTGCAAATGCACTTTCTGACTCAAATACGATACACGTGCACGCTCAGAACTATTTTATCTTCATTTATTCGAGTGTTGGTTTTTTACGTACAGGTGTCAGATACGCAAAAGTAGAGTTTAATGTTGAGAGTGCACTTTCTGACGCAAATTCAGCACACGTGCACGCTCAGAACTGTTTCATTTTTTATTTATTAGCATGTTGTTTTTTTACGTACAGGTGTCAGATACGCAAAAGTAGAGTTTGATGTTGCAAATGCACTTTCTGACTCAAATACGATACACGTGCACGCTCAGAACTATTTTATCTTCATTAAATGGCATCATGTTTTATTACGTACAGGTGTCAGATACTCAAAAGTAGAGTTTGATGTTGCCAATGTACTTTCTAACGCAAATTCAGCACACGTGCACGCTCAGAACTATTTTATCTTTATTTATTAGCATGATGGGGGATTTTTTTACGTACAGGTGTCAGATACGCAAAAGTAGAGTTTGATGTCGCGAGTGCACTTTCTGACGGAAATACGACATTTTTTTTTTTTTTTTTTTTACGTATAGGCGTCAGATGCGTCAAAGTGCTGTTAAACGTGAGATCGATTGAGATTATCGGTCAGATTAAACTATTTTATAATGTTAAAAAGTAATCTCCTTAAACGTAGCTACTTCTTTGTGACTTACTTTTAATAATAATAGTAATATATCGGTTTTAAATAGCGCTGAAAGATTCTTTACGTTCGTTTAACATAAAACAAGAATAGGAAGTTGAAAATGTTTGTTTAACGTAGTCATCGGGCAACAAGTGGTTCAAAATCTAAACAAAAGAGATATTTAAAGAGAAATAAAGTTAAACAAAAAAAAAATAAAATAAAAATTGCCAGTATATTCTATAAAATACGAGTTTTATTTAGGAATTACGAGAGATGCTAGCGATTTGTTAGTGTGCATCTGCGTCTGGGACAAGCTAGCTTTTTTTATTCTTTTAATATAAATTAGACTAAAAATAACTACTTATAATTGCACATTGGTCCAAAAAAAAAAAAAAAAAAAAAAAAAAAATTACGATCGCTATTACACGCTGAAACCCTTTACCCTTTAACTCGTCATTGTTGTTTGGGTCATAACTTGTGTAGTGGCCTATCGCGGACCCTTTTACCATTTTATTTATTTTTTTTTATTTTTATTTTATTTTTTTATGGTTCACTGCGTGCGTTACGATTGAGAAAAACTGAAAATCATATAGTTTTATTACAGTTATTATCTATTAAATGAAATCTCCCAAGTCCATCATTCCTCCCTGTCCAAAAATTCAACAACAACCTGCCTTTTTTTTAATGATCTGAGGCGGTCACGAGGAGATAGAGAGTTACTAAAAGCAGTTGAGTGAAATTTTTATGCCATAACTTGTGTCGTACCCTTTTGTTGCTCCAATCGATATCTTGTTAAGTGATTATCCTCGGTTCACTGGCGCATGTTAAACTGTGAAACGCGTCCAGAGCTTCCAAAATGCTAAAAATAAGTGTGTCTCGTCTTCTTTACGCGCGTTATCTTGACAATTTTCACGTAACTTTTGCAACAGGACCTACAGACCGTACAATTTCACTTGTCTGTGTTATTATATTTTAGATACGTCCATGTCAAAGAGTCTTTTTTTTAACTTTTATTCACATGACAGAAGCCAATGTGAGAATTCATTTTAACTACACACTCATTAAGGCTAAGATATGTTTATAATGGTTCAAACTGGGAGTGAAATGAAGCATACTTTAATTAAACAAATAATATAATCCTTTAATTAACTATTGTGATACCAAATATTTTTTCTGCTTTGCGTCTGAGCTGATTCTTGTGTTTGTTGAGCATGAATCAGTATAAACATGAGAAATTAGACTGAAAATAATTTGGTTCTTTTAAAAAATGAGATCCAGTTCCAAACGTTCATGTTAAAGTTCCCATATTACGCAATTTTCTGAGTTGTGTTTTGTTTCATTCACACATGTTTAACGCACAAATCCCGCATATTTAGGCTCGGTTTTTCTCTCAGACTGAAAACACTCTGTTCCAACTTATGATGTCATGTGATAATACAGATGCTCCACTGTGTTTGTAAACTCCATACACCTTCACTTGAATCATTTGGATAATTTCAGACCTGGAATTGCCTATTTCTACTGAACGAAAAGTAAAATGAAGCTTGAAAACTACAGCTTCATGGCATCACAAGGTGGAACAGAGCATTATGTTATCAGGTTCTTTTTTCAGACCAAGAGTTTGTTTTCATACCTGACAGTTTCGACTGCTCACTAGCTGATTTAAACAGGTTTTGGTGCTGTTTTCCTACCAGTGGAGGCAGAACGACAGCGCCATCTGCAGTCCGACTTCCTCAGGACAGTATCCCAGGTGTGTGAGAGTAAAAAAGCCCCCTCGTCCTGGTTTATAGGTCCATGGGCAAAGTTTCAGTATTTCGATTGCCTCTTTAATCCAGCGGCTTGGGATGGAGCAAACATCATTGGGACAGAGGAAAACAAACATCGCCGATGGATTAAAGAGGCAATCGAAATACAGAAACGTGCCCACGGGACTATAAACCCGGACGAGGGGATTTTTTACTCTCACACACCTGGGATACTGTCTTGAGGAAGTCAGACTGCAGATGGCGCTGTCGTCCTGCCTCCATCGGTAGAAGACAGCGCCAAACCCTGTTTAAATCAGCTGACTGGACACATCACAGCAACATAACGTGACCACTCTGAGGAAGATCGTTAGTGAGCAGTCGAAACTGTGAGGTATGAAAACAAACTCTTGGTCTGAAAAAAGAACCTAATAACATAAAATATCGGAAGACCAAATTAATCTCATTGGAACAGAGCATTTTGAGTTTTGGAGATGTAGACAGACTAATAGTAAATAGTAATAGTAAAGTGTTACTCAAACGTGTGAATGAAACAAAACACAACTCTAACTACTATTTATGAGGAGGTAACAACTTTAAAGCATGTCCTAAAGCAGGCATGTCCAAACTATGGCCCGGGGGCCAAATGCGGCCCTCAGACAAATTTTTCTTGGCCCTCAGACTTCCAGGTGAATTGGCCCAAATTACCTTGCGTCAGTTAAAAAATAATGTTTTACTGTGGGTTTTTTGAGAATCTACCTTGATAAAGCTAATATTTAATATTCAGTGTGTGGTTTTAAGGATCTTAGCATGAATAAAGACTGATGGCTCATTCTGACATGTTAAATATGCACACATTCCAATTATTCCCTGTACTGAACATCAGTCTACGGCCCTTGATTGGCCCTCTGCTTCGTCTGTGTTTAGATATGCGGCCCTTGATGAAAAAAGTTTGGACACCCCTGTCTTAAAGGGTCACAAAATTGTCTCTTGTGAGCTTTCGGTCCATGTAATGTGCCTCTGTGTGACTGTGTGTGTTTGTGCGTCCACAGCGTCACGGGGTGGCGGTGCTCCTCGTGCTGCTCCTGTGCGCGAGCCTTTTCCTCGTGTACAACGGCAACTTCAGCGGAGCCGGCGCACGAGACCGGGACGCCAACGACACCTCCGCCCCCGCCGCCCACGTCCGACCGGCTCCCGAGCACGTTCAGAGGCGACCCACCAGCGCTCCTCTCCCTCAGACCCGAGCAGAGGAGAAAGAAGAGGAGCTGGCCCCAGTGCTCCAGGGATACAGCGGGATCATAGACCACAAGGTAACCCGACAACGAGCTCTGAGTGTGGGGAGGGTTGTGACCGTGTGTCCCTCCTGGGGTTATCCAGCAGTACACTCACTTACCTGGGTGAAGTTGGCCCCCATCAAACGCACACCTACACAAAAACTACGTCAATCGTTTGTGTTCATTTGTGCTGTTTTGTGCTGCAAAAAGTTTTGTTTGTGTTGCAAGAAGCTTCAAAATGCTCTAAAACACTCAAAATACTTTTCCCAAACATGTTTTACTCTCACTTGGGTAATGGGGTCAAACTTTGGTGCTTCTTTTGTGCTGCAAACATTTTGTTTGTGCTGCTTTAGTTTTTGAGATAGTAATGATTCTTTTATAGGACAAATTGGGGTCAGCCAGCCCCCATGAAGATTCTAAATGTTCTAAAACGGCCCAAAATCGGGTCAATCATTTGTGCTTCATTTGTGCTGCAAAAAGTTTGATTTGTGCGATTATGGTTCTTAAGATATTAGCAGTTTTATTTTGGGCTGAGCACGTCATCAGCTCCTCAGAATGTTAAACAGCTTCAAAACATGCAAAGAATTATACGAAATATTTGTGTTTCTTTTGTGCTGCAAAAAGTTTTGTTTGTGCTGCTTTAGTTTTTGATATATTGCAGATTCTTTTATAGGTAAAATTGGGGTGAGCCAAACATTCAAATTATAAATGACAGTTACTCTTTAAGTTACTCCTACTTGAAAAATACTTTTCCGCAAGCACATTTTTCTCTTACTTGGGTAGTGAGGTCAATTGTTTGTGCTGTATTCGTGCCGTTTTGTGCTGCAAAAAGTTTCGTTTGTGCTTTTAGTTTTTGAGATATTGCAGATTCTTTTATAGGTCAAATTGGGGTCAGACAGCCCCCAGGAAGCTTCAAAATGCTCTAAAACGCTCAAAATCGGGTCAAATGTTTGTGCTTTGTTTGTGCTGTAAAAAGTTTTGTTTGTGTGATTATGGTTCTTAAGATATTAGCAGTTTTATTTTGGGCCGATGACATCATCCTGCTTCTCAAAATGTAAAATATCCTCAAAACACGCAGAAAATTATACAAAACGTTTGTATTTTGTTTGTGCTGTGACAATTTTCATTTGTGCGAGTATATTTCTAAAATTATGAATTATTATTTTTGCAGAAATTATATGATGGCTTTAGTAAAACTTCGCAAAACTAGTGAAGAGAAATGATTTGTGGCTGTGGAAAAGTCTGTATCAGTCTTGCTTTTGATTCATATTTTCTATAATAATACAGACTTCCCACTTGTCACGCTGGGGGTGATCTGCATGTCTGTGTATGGCAGAATGTTCAGCAGTTACCAACACACACATCAGCAAACTGCCAAATATGTTTTTAAGATTCGTTCTGTGTTCATGGTCTTGTTTAGGAGTTCGATTTTGAACAAAAAGGTGAAAGTGAAAAACTCTGCGTGACTGTAATGTTTTTTGAGAGGTCGTTTTTGTAATTTGAGTTCTTTCTGGTCAGATGGTGTTAAATTAAAGATCAGAGTAAAGTCGAAACAAAGCCTCAGACAGAACATGCTGACTGTTAGCGTCACACCACCAGGGAACGTTGATGTTTTCAGTTGTGAAGTATCGATATAGAGAAGATTCCTTTTATGTTTTGGATAAAAAGGAAGATTGACTTTTCTCACTAAGAAGTCTTTAAGGGCTTTGTGGCTTTCAGGATTCTAATATGCAAAAGTGTGAAGTTACATTTACTCGAGTAACTTTTGAAAGAAATTGTACTTTTCAGGGCACTTTTCTAGCACAGGGTTCCCACGGTCATGAAAATAAATTCTATGAAATTTTTTGAGAAGTCATGGAATTTTAGTATCTCTTTCACGCAACTACAGCGTTCCGTTAAGTTATCATTAGATTGTTATGATTATTTCTGAATCCGTTTGCGCCTTTTGTTTAAATGAGACGACAATAAATGCACTGACAGTATTTTGAATGTTAAAAAACTATAAAACCAAACCATAAGGTGAGTGGAAAGAGTTCACATTTCATATTTAGACCTAAAAGTCTGATCAATTTTACACATGTAGGTGCTGTAAATTCATGGAAAATTCACTTTAAGTCTTGGAAAAATTTTGAAATTTTGTCAGTGAAAAAGAGCGGGAATCCTACTAGCAGCATACTTTTACTCCTACTTCAGTAATGTTTTAATCCAACAGTAAAAGTAAAAGTTTTGGTTTCTTTTCCCACTGTGAGTAAGTCTAAAGTGACAAAATTTTTATGTGACAATATGAAATGATTTGAACATTTGTGTTTCTTGCACCGCTCCTTCAGATCTGATTTAGTTTGTCTCACTGAGTGTCTGTCCTTTGAAAATATCAGATTTTGTGCAGATTTTTAAATGTTTTATCCTTCTAACTACATTAACTTCAAATTATAAATGACAGATACTTTTGAAGTTCCTCCTACTTGAGTAATATTTTTCCCAAACACGTTTTACTCTTACTTGAGTATTTTCCTGGGCCACTACTTTCTGTTAGCCAGTCTGGCGCCACCTAGTGCCTCCGCTCAATTTCATTTCTCTCCAGCGACTAGGTCAGAAATCAAAATACAATAGACGGTTCACAAAAACCCCGGAAGTGCGAGTTCGGGCACCAGCCAATCAGCGAAGAGCCATATATTCTGTGTTGGAAACTATTCCCGAGATCGAGGATTTAAAGCCGGAACAAAGAGAATGTTTGGTGAATTTTATCAAGGGGAAAGACGTTATTGCCCTTCTTCCTACAGGATTTGGGAAAAGCTTAATATTCCAGTTATCCCCGTCAGTGGCGCATTGCATACGTCACGACCAAATAGCAGCGATTGGTTAAATAATAAAAGTACCCGCCTACCATCGAGCGAACGAATCCTAATGCTGTGAGGTCAGACGGTTTCTACGAAGTGAAACCGGCTGCTTGAGTAACATTACAATAACTAACGTTACTTTTACCTGATTGCATTTTTGACTACTCCATGTGCGTGTTCGTATAATTTTCTTGCAGTTTTTATCTTCAAGCTGAAATCTCCCGAGTCCATTGCCCCGTGTCCAATAATACAACAGCTTGTCCTTTTTACCCTTGGAGGTGGTCAGGGACATTTTTTAATTTTCATGAATCTAATCTAATAAGGAACATAAGTAGCATTTACAGCAAAATTCAAAGACCTCAAATGAGAACTTACCATCGCCATAATAGCCGTTTTGGAATTACCTGAAGGTTATTAGGTACAACGAACTTGCATTTCTGAATTATAAGTATGACCGTGCCGAGGTAATTAAAGGGCCCATATGAGACTATTTTCTGATCTATGTTTTAATGTTCCTCATCACAAACAGACCTGGAGTTGTGTTTGTTTACTTCACACATGTTTAACACACAAACCCTGCTTATGTAATAGAATAACACAGGAAATGCCCACTGCGTTTAACTCTTAAACTCCATACACCTCCACCATACGGAAGCCGAGAGGGGTCACAACACAACAAAAAGCCACAACAAACCAAAAAAAAGCCACAACACACCAAAAAAAAAGCCACAACACACCAAAAATGCCACAACGGAAATGACCGCGGGACTCTGTATTTGTTGTGGCGTTTGCATTAAAATAAACGCCACAACACAAACAAATGCCGCAAATGCAAATAAAAAGCCGCAACAAATTAAAAAAGCCACAACACATTAAAGCCACAACACATTAAAAAGCCACAACACATTAAAAAGCCACAACACATTAAAAAGCCATAACACACCAAAAAAAGCCACAACGGAAATGACCGCAGGACTCTATTTTAATGCAAATGCCGCAACAAATACAAACGCCGCAACCCAAATGCAAATGCCACAACACATTAAAAAGCCACAACACATTAAAAAGCCACAACGGAAATCACCGCGGGACTCGATTTTAATGCAAATGCCGGAACAAATACAAACGCCACAACACAAACGCAAATGCTGCAACACATTAAAAAGCCGCAACACATTAAAAAGCCGCAACACATTAAAAAGCCACAACACATTAAAAAGCCACAACACATTAAAAAGCCACAACACATTAAAAAGCCACAACACACCAAAAAAAGCCACAACGGAAATGACCACGGGACTCTATGTTAATGCAAACGCCGCAACAAATACAAACGCCACAACACAAACGTGAATGCTGCAACACATTAAAATGCCACAACACATTAAAAAGCCACAACACATTCAAAAGCCACAACAGAAGTGACCGCGGGACTCTATTTTCCGACAGACCGATCAAGCGGCAAGTGAAAAAGAAGAACTACAACGTGAAACGAATCATGATAAAACAATAAATAACTTTTACTTACGTTTCCAACTTCTCTGTTCCTTTACTTTTCACGTTGTAGTTCTTCTTCTTCACTTCTTCTTGCCGCTTGATCGGTCTGTCGGAAAATAGAGTCCCGTGGTCACTTCTGTTGTGGCTTTTTAATGTGTTGTGGCTTTTTAATGTGTGGCGGCATTTGCGTTTGTGTTGTGGCTTTTGTATTTGTTGCGGCGTTTGCATTAAAATAGAGTCCCTCGGTCATTTCCATTGTGGTTCTTTTTTGGTTTGTTGTGGCTTTTTGTTGTGTTGTCGCATTTGTATTTGTTGCGGCGTTTGCGTTTGTTGTGACCCCTCTCGGCTTCCGTACCACTAGAATCATTTGGATGATTTCAGCCCTGGAATTGTCACTCTCTACCGAACTCAATTTGAAGGTAGCTGTTAATTAGTTTAGTTTAGTCTAATTTATTTATTTAATGAGACAGGGACAGTGCACAGTATACATTAACCTTAACAGGAGAGAGATATTGTACCAGGTTGTAGCACAAGTGCTAATTTCCACCTGTCGTCCCTGGGCAGGTTGATGTTATAGTTCATAAAATCAATCATACATACAGAATGTCTTTATAATGACCGGAGCATCGTGATAATTCTGCATCTTCATTCACACCCAGTTCTCTCAGCATCTTTAAACCATCATCCTTATTAAAACCATCA